ACTTGAAATTGTATGCAGGTGCGTACTGTGTGCGATTTTTTTAAAGTCTGCTTAAACATCGCTAATTGTTCACCTACATTTTCTGTTTTCGTTTTCAATTTCCTGATATTTCCTTTTTTTCACTATCATTTTACTTTTTGTTTTCACATGAGGAACTTTCTTTGAAACTACGGGTTCAGTAAACGGAAATTAAGGTAGTCGTATCGCTCAGTTTATTCAAAATGTATATTTGATTGTCTGTTCAGCGGTATTCGCTTGGATGAAAGTGTGCAAATGCATAATCTAGCACGACTAACTCCAGGCTATGTGGGTGCTGATTTGAAGGCGCTTGCTAGAGAAGCATCAATGTGTGCTGTGAACAGGTAGTGCCTTTTAATACCACAATTGTTTAGTGCTAAATTTCAACAAAGATTATCATTCGAGCAGTTCAGTTTTGATTTTGCCTTGACCATTTCATTTGAGACAGTGAAATCAGTTGAACTTTTAGGGTTTTTGAAACAGTCGCACGTTCCTCTCAAAGACCGGGAAGGCTCAATATCGAGGAGACGAATGAGGAACTGACAAAGTGTTCGTTTTCTGTGATTGATTTATTTGATGACTTCAGAAGCCATTTTGAACGGATTTCGCAATTCATCTTTTTGAAACAAAAAATAATTTTCATTTTTGAAGCGCATTGTTCATTCGATGGGAATTGATTATTATGTTATTATATTTTAAACTAATAGGAAGAAGACTGATGAATCTATTCGTTTTCACTGATATCTTCTATTAATTTAAGTTATGTTCAACAGGAGCTATCTGCTTTATTCGTATTGTTTTCAGTGTTGGAATGGTTGAAATCAGAGCAAACTTTGGATGATAGTAAAATAACGAATTTATTCGTGCAATTGGACGACTTCAAGAAAGCGTTAACCATAGTGCATCCATCGGCAAAACGTGAAGGATTTGTAACAGTACCGGATGTTTCGTGGCAAGACATTGGCGCATTGAACGAAGTTCGAGAGGAATTGAAATGGAGCATTTTGGTTTGTTTTCAAACTTTTGTGATTATAACTTT